TGCCTCCAACAATGTGCATGAAGCAAGAATATGTATTCCTTTCATTGATTATCCAAGGTCCCCAAAGTCCTGGAAAGAATATTGATGTAATGCTTCAACCACTAATCGATGATTTAAAGCAGCTTTGGTATTCTGGAGTCCAAACTTATGACAGCTTTAGGCATCAATACTTTCTTATGAGGGCTGCACTTATATGGACCATTAGTGACTTACCTGGGTATGGAATGTTGTTTGGGTGGAGCACACATGGTAAATTAGCTTGTCCCTATTGCATGGAAAATTCGAAGGCCTTTTGGTTGGAACACGGTCGGAAGACATCATTTTTTGATTGTCATCGACAATTTTTGTCCCCAAATCATCCATTTAGAAGAAACAAGAATGACTTCATAAAGGGTCGTACAGAGAATAGAACAATGCTAGAGAGATTGCCTGGTGATGAGATGCATAGTCGCATCCATTGGTTGCCTGATGTACTATTTGGTAAGTCACCTCAGAAATAGGAAATCCACGGATTTGGTGAAGTGCACAATTGGGTTAAAAAGAAAATCTTTTGGGAATTGCCATATTGGCACACAAACTTGATTTGACACAATTTAGATGTCATGCATTGTGAGAAAAACTTTTTTGACAATATCCTTCATACAGTAATGGATGACCCTATGACAAAAGATAACATAAATGCAAGACTTGATCTGGAATTGTATTGTAAAAGGAAAAGTCTACACATACCAAAAACAGGAGTGAATTCGGGTAAAAAGCCAAAGGCCACTTATGTTCTTAGTAGGGATCAAAGAAAATCAATATGTCAATGGTTGAAGGAACTTAAATTCCCTAATGGATTTGCCTCCAATATATCTTGGTGTGTCAATACACAAGAGGCACGATTATTCGGTATGAAAATTCACGACTGTCACATTTTCATGCAAAGCCTTATACCAATTGCATTTTGTGATTTATTATCGAAACAAGTTTGGGAGCCACTTGTTGAGATTAGTGAGTTCTTTAGGGCCTTGTGTGCTCTGATGATTCAGGTCAATAACATGGCAATATGGTAAGAGAGGATAGTAGAAATCATTTGTAAGCTAGAGTGGATCTTTCCACCTTCATTCTTTGATAGTATAGAGCATCTTGCAATTCACCTTCCATACGAGGCTCGTGTAGGAGGACCAGTGCAATTTCGATGGATATATCCATTTGAGAGGTAAATATAATTAATGCATAATATATGAAAATAAATATAACTCCATATATGATATTTTGTTGCATTGAGGTTAGAATATCAATTTGGTACTTCAACTTTCAATTTTATATCAAAGCTACCATTGAACTTAAAAAAGAATTAAAAATGGTCCTTTTAAGGACCATTTTGAAACTTTTTAAAATTTTAAGGGTATGTTTGATATAAACTTAGAAGTTGAGGTATCAAATTAATATTTTAATCATAACATAATTATATAATAATTTTTGGTGAATCAGGCGAATGCATTGTCTTAAGTTGATAGTGAAAAACAAAGCGCGTCCTAAAGCATTCATACGTGAAAGTTACATAATGTCTGAGATCATAAATTTTATCTCTCATTACTTTGATTATGGAGTACATAGTACAGTTGATAATCCCCCTAGGAATATTGTTGTTGGATTTGGTGATAATAGTGGCCTATTCATTTTTAAATGTGTTGGAAAACGTATTGGTTCCAAAATTGAAAGACGTTGCTTGACGGTAGAGGAACGGAAAGCTATTTCGTATTATGTGTTAATGAATTGTGAAGAATTGTGAGGATGGTTTAGGTAAAAAACCTACACTAAAATCTTTAATTTGTTATATTAAGATTTATTGAAATTAAAATACTAATAGTATATAAACAACTATTATCATATTTTCTAGTTTATTTGAGAGAGAACAATGTCAAAATATGAATCCTCAACAAATTCAAACAAAACAAGAGAGAGACCTTGTGCCCTAGTTTGAACAAGTTATGAGTATTTAATAATATGATTATTCAATTCCTTAACATATATATGTTATTTATCTTCAAATGCATCTAACATTTTCTTCTACAATCTATATATTTTAGGTGATTAGTGATGAGTTCATTAATGTCCATGAGCATATCAAAGGTTTATCCAACAGTCCAAAAAATTATGTTTCTTGCTATAATGTATATATTGTCAATGGATTTCGATTTCACACTGCCTTCTATGGTAGAAATAAGCGAACAATGAATTACGATGTCTGTGTTGTCGGATCTATTAGTACTGAATCAGATTATAATTTTTATGGCGTGCTTCAAGAAATAATTCAAATTGAGTATTATGAATCGATCCATCAACAGGCAATTGTTTTATTCAAATGTGATTGGTACGAGATTCCTCCTGCTCAAGGGGTTCAAGTGGATCAAAAACATCGATTGGTTGACATTAATCCTCGAAGATACCTTCGATCCTATGAGCCTTTCATTCTTGCTAGTCAAGCAAGGCAAGTTTATTACATACCATACCCATCTATTAATCATGAAAGAAGGGGATGGATTGCTGCACTTAAAATTAAAGCTAGGAGTATCATTGAGGCTCCTGAGAATAAAGATGACTAACAAGAAGGATTGACACCATATTTCCAAGACGATGAGCCTCCTATTTCTCAACAAATAAATATTGATGACATTGCTTATGAACCTGTGCAATATTCTGATGGGAGGTTTATTGAAATACATGAATAAGCTGATGTTGGGGAGGGGATTGGGGAAGAGGATGAAGAAGAAGGAGAATGGGAAGATTTTGAGACATTAGAAGAAGAAAACATAGAAACATATGTTGAGGAGAATGATAATAGTGATAAGTAGGCAATAATATTAAAACTATTGAAACTTATTATTATATTTATGGTTACTACTTGCTTGTCTGTACTTTTATAATTATATTAGTTGTATTATATGTTATTTAATTTAAAATTGTATAACGTTAATATTACTTTCAAGTTAATATTTGCTTATTTATTCTTCTATAATTATATTAGTTGGAATAAAATTTATATGTTTATGTTTTTAACATATTATTAATTTTATATTTTTTTGTTAATATTTATATAATTTTTTT